CTTCTAGAAATTCACGCTGAACTCTTCAAGAAACAGAACTAAGAAAGAGGCTGCAAGTAGTGAAGCTTTTTTCAAACTTAAATCTTCAAGGAACAAAAATTTGACAATAGACACTGTCGGCAGGGGACGAGGGGCAGAGAGGACACACGTGAGGCTGGAGAAGCTGGCGGGCACTCCCAGCCTGCACCTCGGAGGCCATGCTGGGCACGGCCCCCGTGGACCGGTTCTTCTGGGTCCACATTGTGTCCCAGATGGGGGAGGGGGGTGGTGGTGGATGAGGGTCTGGTCTGTCTCTGCCCGTGTGGGCTGCAACATTCCGGAGGACCCCTTGGATCGACTAGAATGGGGGCCCAAGCTAAGGGAAACCGTGGCTTGCTTTTCGTTGTTGTAAACTGTTAAGTTTCTTGTTTTCAGGATTTATATGAAAAAGTGAAGTCCTGACAAATTTCAGATCAGCGGTTCTCAGCTAGAGGCGATTTCACCCCCAGGGCAGGTCTCTCGACGTCTGGAGACATCCGTGTCACAACTGAAGGGCACCAGTGGCATCTGGTGGATGGGGACCAGGCCAGGACAGCTCCAAAGCGCCGTCCGACCCCGAAGGCCAGCAGCGCTGTGGTTGGAAAGCCCGTGTGGACTTTGACGCGTGTCGATTAAATCACGACTCCGGACGGTAGAGGAAACGCGTGCCGCTCCCTCCCTCCCCCAGCCCGTCACAGGTGCACGCCCCCGCACACAGCACAACCCCCCTCTCTGGTTCCATCTTCCCTGGACACCTGGTCAAAGTCATCCACTCGCCCCCGAGCCCCACGGACGCGGTCACGTACCATCAAAAGTCAGAGGCGTCTGCAACTTCATAAGAGCGATGTCATTGTTCTTGGTCTTGGAATCATAGTTCGGGTGGGAGATCACTTTTCCCACTCGGTACCCGTGTCCGTAGAACATGAAAGATTGCCTCAAAATTCCCACGAAGGCCGTCCAGTGCCGTGGGTTGTTCAGTGGTCTGGAAGGTAAAGCCGAAGACCACTCAGCACCTCAGCAACGCAAATGGGAAACACTCCTTTGGTGACTTCCAAAGTCACAAGCCGGAGCCAGGTGTCCCGGAGGCGCCATGACCCTCTAGAAGCAACACGGCCAGGCCAGGGAGGTCTCGGGCTCTTGTCCCTTGGCGCCTTGCCGTGGCCCCACCCACCCCTGCACCTCGACAATGAGGTCCATTCCTCCTGTGCCTCTCTCTTTTTTTAGTGTTTTTATTTATTTTAGGAGAGAGAGAGAGAGAGGGAGAGAGAGCGCAGGGGAGGGGCAGGGAGAGAGGGAGAGAGGGAATCCCAAGCAGGCTCTGCGCATCAGCACAGAGCCCGATGGGGGGCTCAAACTCACAAACCGTGAGATCGTGACCTGAGCCGAAATCAAGAGGGGGTCGTTTAACTGAGCCACCCAGCCCCTCCACCCCCATACTTCTGTACCAGCCGCAAACCCTCAGAACATCGAAGAACGCTGTTTCTTGGTCTGACTGCCTCCCTGAGGTTCCAAACCTCGTTTCTTGCAGGACTGGGTCTTACTTGCCTTCACGTATCAGGGCATCTTTTGGCACCAACAGGTGCTTAATAAGTGCATGCGGATGGCTAGATTGTAGGCCTCACAGCCATTAGGGCATTAGCTTCGTCTAAGTGTTTCCCTTTTAGGAGAACCCCAGATCCCGGGAGGTATCGGAATCCGGTGGAAGGAAGTCAGGAAGGGAACACCAGTGGGTGACAAACGTTGCTCCCTCCCCACCCCCCCGCCAACGGCCTTCGGGGGGCAGGTACACCTGTCCTGC